CTCTCTCTCTCTCTCTCTCTCTCTCTCTCTCTCTCTCTCTCTCTCTCTCTCTCTCTCTCTCTCTCTCTCTCTCTCTCTCTCTCTCTCTCTCTCTCTCTCTCTCTCTCTCTCTCTCTCTCTCTCTCTCTCTCTCTCCCTCTTCCCTCTCCCTCCTCCCTCCCCTCCTCTCCCCCTCTGTCTCCCTCCCACTCTCTTTCTGTTTCTATCTATCTATTTATCTATCCATTTACAAATTTCAGTATAATTTCAAAAATAAAGTTATATTTTTTAATATAATATTTATAAGTTAATATTTGCGATACAAATTTTGACGCATAGTATACTGTAGCTATAACGTTGTACATTTTGATTACACTTTAGCATACTTGTATGTGTGCGGAACCGATATTGATTGTAATTAACTAATTGTTCGTTACCCGTAATTTTGCCGCTTTGTGCCAGAAGGTCTCTAAATTACTGCGACAAAGCACGGCTGCTGCCTTTGATGTGCAAAAGCGTCAGTATCAGTTTTACGCTGCGAATGTATGTATATCTATCGCGTCTCTATCGCGTAATGCCAGTATCAAGAGAGCTATATATATACAGACGCGAATCGATACGAAGTTCGAAGTGTTCGTAAAGATTCACTCGGAGATATTCGGGTGAGATAATCACGAATAATCGATGCGAATTTCGTGGCATGTCCAATTTCGCGAAGTGAAATGAAGCGGTTTCTCATTCGTTCCGTTCGATACCGCAAATTCTTCCCGTGTTCGCGTTCTGTTCGCTTCGCGAATAAAATGAAAGAAAATCTCCTATCTTGAGGCGCATCGAGCATCCAAAAGTGCAACTTGTCTGATACCTAAGACGAAAGAGTACGCTTCTCTAACTTCACTAAGTTTTAATCCCTTTACCATACTACCGAGTGCACCTATCTTACTTTTCGCGTAATGCAAGGATTTCTGCTTGGAAGTTGCTGTCGTAAAGTTGCCTCGATTCCTTATTACGGCCTCAGACTCAGTGTCAAAAGAGATATACGTCACGCCGAAAGAGCGAGAAAGAGAGAGAGAGAGAGAGAGAGAGAGAGAGAGAGAGAAAGAGAGAGAGAAAGAGAGCGATAGTAGAGTTTACACACCAACGCATCTACATCTTGTTTATTCATTAGGTTCTCCGTCAGACAAATATCGAATTCCGCCTTCGCAAAATATATGCTTCGTCGACTTAATAATTCTATCCACGCAACTCAAGTCTAATTCCCGAAACTTGATGGACAAATTTTGTTTCTCTTCGCTTTCGGATTTCGGAGGATTGAGTTTGCATATATTAATTTGCAATTTTGCTTATATAAATTTCCCGATTTTACGAAATTAGTTGAGTTTTAATTATATTACGCACTGCTAATTAATAAATTTGTAATTTAAAATAATATCGGGTTTCCGCGCCAATCTCGCGTTACGTAAATTCTGCGATTTTCATTTTTGCAGCCTTTTATAGCCTTGAGAGCCCCTGAGGTCATTTTGGAGAACCACTTAAAATCATTGTAATAATTTCCATACGGATGGATATCAGTAAAAATCGTACTAAAATAATAATAAACGTCTAAACGTCGGATTAAGAAAAATAAGCAGCGTTTGGAAGAATAAATATATAGTCGTAGCCTGATTGCGCTATAACAACAATAGCTTAGCAAAATCAATAAATTGTTGGGCAGATAAGCAATAAGAAAAAACACAGAAATAAAACTTTAGTTAATTTATACGCTAACGTTAAAATGCTAAATCAGGTTCGCACAAAAAAATCCATATGATATATAAAATATACAAAAAAAGGTCAGATAAAAATAAATCCTGTGGCAGCAAAAAAAACAGTCTCACAAGAATTGATTCGCTAATAATCATAGAATTTAATTATCGCATCTAATAAATATGGATATTAAACGATTTAATTTAATAAAGCCTGTAATAGAGGATAATTAAAATGCACAAGTTTTAAGAGTTCAAGCGCGAATTTGAAACGTGAACAATGGGAACAATAGCTCTTTCTTGTGCGTATTCATTTAACGCTATCTATTGAACAGAACGCGCACCTTTTTCTTTGTAGAAAACTATTGTTCATGAATAATAATTCTCGAAAAAACTCCTATTATGCGAGAACATAATATAACGCATATTGTATTTTCAATCAAGAGAAATGACCGGCGAAATTTCACAATGATAAGATGTAAAACATCGGCAGCTCTCGTAAAATAGTAACCGAGCAAACAAGCCGTACCATAAAGATCGATGCTAGCGCGTCTCGACCTCTCGCAACAGCGACGAATCATTATTTCAGCAAAGTTATATCAGTCGGCGAACTCAAAACTTCGTGTTGGTAATTGTTAGAAACTTTCGAGTAATAAAGAAAATTGGAATTACCACTTTATTTTCGCAGTGTTTGTTAATCTGAAAAACTACATTAGAGCACGATTAAAAATAACGTGTTTACAAGCACGATTAAAATACATGTGTCGATAATAAGTGTCTGAATTACTCTTTATTTTTGTAAAATTTTAAAATAAATTTTTTTTCTATTTTCTCCTGGCCAAACATCAAACAATTGTAACGACATATGCTGCAAGCTCTCTATTTTCTAAATTTTTATTCAGTATTTTATAAAAGTTAGATTTTTTTTAAGTGTCGAATTTTTGTACGACAATGTTTTGTAAAAACATTTTTATAAAAATGCCCGTTATTTTTCTTATGAAACACATGCCCGTTAAAGCAATTGATATTAGATAAACAACAGATATTAAATAAACAATTATAAAACTTTTAGATTGACTATGAAAACATGACTCACACAAACAAGTTTTTCCACCACAAAACGATGGAAAAACAGAGACAGACGTCCTGTATACATTTCGAGCAAAAAACCTCACTTCCACGATTGAATTCTGAGTTTTTCTTCGAGTAATACAATACGTGTCAACGGGTGGATCGTGTTCGCGGCTACAAAAGTACCCTGTAGCCGATGGGTTATTATAGACAATTGCGCAGGCGTCGCCGCCGGTGGGCTTTTTGCGCGACGAGATAACTCTGGAGAAGGGAATTTCGCGAGAGAGGGACCGACAGTCGGCGCCGAGCCGCCCTCGCGCGATCTCGCGTTCTCATTTCTACTTTTAGTAGAAAAACCCACAGCAAAGCACCCCACGACAAGGCACTCACGGCAATATAATGTTTGCGTACGAATTTCGATCACTCGCGGCGGAAATTGTGCGACCGTAAAAATAAGTTCGCTGAATAAACATTCGCGATATCGGGCATCAACAGTCAAAGCTATAATTTCTAAATTCCGCGAAAAGATCCATGTGCTCGCAGCATGGCTATTATGCAGTCCTGTTGCTGTTGGCAGTCCGTACGTCGAGGCAGCTACGCCTGTGCCGTTTACACTACAGTAAGTATCGCAATAGTGCTTTGTTTGTACGCTTGGGTGGAATTGTGCAAGCAATGTGAATGTTTATAAACTAGAATGAATAAAAACGAAACTTTTCGTATACAGTATTTTCCATGCATATGTAACAAGATATATCAACTTTTAGGCTTTGATCTCTTTTTATAAAAAACAGATATTGAATACGTTTATTTCAGAAAAAACTAACGATTTAAAGTTTCGTAACTTTAGTAATTTAACTTTACATGTGCGTATTGGTTTTTACTATTATATAATTTTAAATAAAATAAATAAAATTGTGCATATACACATCATATACATATCTCTCTGTGACAAAAAACTTTATAATCATCGCTCTGTGTAAACTTGTAAAAACATGTTGTAATAAAATGATTGATTTTTTTACAATAGGTATATTCACAAAGCTTCCATCTTTAAATATAAAAAATTAAATACAATAACATTTCTTTTCTTGTATCCGATAGCAAATAGCGTATTCCTAATGATTGATTTCTCCACTTAGGTCGTTGAGTGAAATAGTAGTGCGAGTCAATAATAAATGATACATTTCAGAGAACGACTAATGACTTTAACGTTAAAAAATTCAACATTTTTTTTCTTGCAATAGTAGAAAAACATATCGTAATAAAATACTTGGATTTTATATTCTTTGTTCGTAAACGCATTTAAATAAAAATAACTCGAATTTATATTCACGTTGAAGTTTATCATGGAAAACATGTATACGTTTTGTAATATAATTATATAAGCTGCTAGCGCAAATGCTCGATTCATGCATAACATATCCAACCCTCGCAGTACTTATATACAATCATCTATTGGGTCAAATTTAACGTCGTTGCTCATTAACGTAACGAAAACCACTTGTAAAGAATAACAAAATGTTATCGAATAGCTTTAATGGCGTATATGTAGTTACAACTGATGGAGTGACGTGACGTCACGACGCAAATTACACTGCAAAACGCGCAGCATTTCTACAAACACATCTGGAATATGTATCCCATTACAATCATCTAAATATCACAAATTTTATAACAATATTATCTTTTAAATATTTTGATGCTTTAAACAAATTTTTATGTTATTTGGCATCTGATTGATAATTGCAAAGAGATTTAATTATTTTATATTATATTCACAAAAATTTATTGATTTTTTTCTTTACTATTCTATATATATGAAATTTTTCTTAAAATTGAAAATAATATTTACATTAATCGATTAATAAAATATAAATATATTTTATTAAATAAAAACCCAATATATTTTTTTTTAAATTGCATTGTACTTCATCTTAACGAGATGGTTTGTTATTTATAAAATAAAATAAAGCTTCAAAAATTGACACAAACATGCTTATAATAAATAATTATTACAATTAAATAATGAATTAAATATGTGAATGTTTGAGAAAAACCACGCAAAGATATAAAGACAACACGAAATAATTGATCTAAATATAATAATATCGTAAATATAGAGCTCAATATGTAATGATACATTTTATCATTATTGCAATCAACAGTCTATTAATAATACATAAAACATTTTGTAATGCGGAATATGTACTTCAGTTGTATCAACCGGCTAACTATTGATCAATATGTTCTCCTGGGAACATATCAATCCAGTCGAAATATGCAAATTTGTGGTACACGTTATTCCATATGTGCACGCACACGGAATGTACACGGAAGCACATATGTACTTCTCAAATGAATTTTACAGGTTAAAATTTTTTGGTTGCATTTTCGCAGGAACTAATAAAACAGTCAGAAAAAAAAAGTAGTTTTATTTTACAATATCGGTGAAAGCTTTTGACTATGAATAGCGATGCTGTAACATCGTATTTGACATAGTCGCTTTCAGCTTTTTGGATATATACCATCTATTGTAGTTTTTTATATTTTTTTCTTTTTCTCTGGCCAAAAAACCGTTTTTACATATCTCGAAAAAATTATCAATAAATATTGATATATCTATTTTATTAATATTATTACTTGATTTAGAGAAAGAAAGTTTAATTAAAAGTTATTCTCATGTAAATGGTTGAAACATGTTACCCAAACATTTATTTTCCAAATCTTTTTGCTGAACAGTCAATGAAAAAAAAAGAAATTATATTTATATAATAGATTTTAATTTTTGGAACACAATATAAAAGCGTTTTGTATTTCTAATGATTCGCGCAATTGATTTTCTGCGTAAAAAATATTGTCCGTGTGTTATATAACATATGTTACATATAGCATTATTGCTGAAAATAAACTCATTGTACGTAGACTCATTGTATTCCTGTCTCAGAATTATAAAGAGTGTGGAGTGAAGTAGAATAAGTGCAAAAATGCGGTAGAAAATTCCATTAAACTGTTATCCAATATGTTTTGCATAATTAGGTGGAATCTTGAAAATTAATGATAAAACAAATAATAAAACAAATAGTACGTAAAAGTTGCATGAAAGTCGTTTGTTACTATGGAGCTTTAAAGAGGAAGAAATTAAGTGTATCGGATATCCTTTGTCTTATAATTGCTAAAGTTTTGAAATGTAATCTAATTATTCACGTTAATCTTTTTATCGGCTCTCAACTATTTTCCAAACGAAAAAATTGCTTCTTTCGTGTTGCCGCTTTCCAATTTTTCTTTTTTTTCTCTTAAATCGATGACGTCAACTTAGCAGATATATTTACAGATTTTATTTTGCAAATGCAGTTCTATCATTGTCATCATGATTGGGAAATATTCATCGAAAGCGCGGGAATTCGAAAAAACACGCTCTAATTACTTAACTCCATTAATTGTTTTATTAGTTCCAGAAACACAAAGTACAAGAACCTCATTACATACCCTATAATGCTACAACATCGATATCCCACCAAGACAGACATGGACTATCTGATCGTAGTATTAATTATCTGCTATAATTAGCTAATACGAAACCCTCAAATTGTTTGACACGGAAACGTATAATTCTATTTCTGGTCCAAAACTGATCTTTCCGCTCTTTAAAAATAAATATAGAATGCCTAGATTCTTTTCTAACTAAAAGGTAATTAATAATTTAATCTTGCATATATTATTTTTAATAACTTGCAATCACATTTTTGCTAGAGAAAAAGAAAACTTCAGAAAATAGCAGCGACATTATAATGCACAAATGTAACAAAATATTCCATTTTTCAGCTGATTTTAATACAAGGTCAAATTGATTTTGACCGCAATTTAAAGTTTAATTAAAGTCCGTTTGACACTTGTCGTGTTTCAAGATATATAAAACGAAATTCAAGTGACTATCATAAATACAAGCCTGAAATGACGGCTGTAGCGCGCGCAGTATGCTCCGTCAACGGTTCGTGGATATCAGAGAAGCAAGAGAAGCAGGAGGAATGTTGTTTTGAAACGTGTTTTTATTTTTTGCCTCACTTTTATCGGTCTCCCGTGCGCGGTTTTAACGCCCCAGCCTTTGAGCCCTTTTAATTTCGTTGTACACAAAAGGTTAACAAAAAGAGACACACTCGATTTAAGAACCTTCGCTTAATTTAAAGGAATAACGAGAAAATTCGATTTGCGACTTCATCATGTCGAGATGATTAATAACATCTATCCACTACGATCGTGTATCAGCTAAAAATAGTAACGTAATTTCGGAGAAATGTTTTGGAACAAGCATTTAATTTGATGTAATTGCCTACCAAAATAATTGATGAAAAATAGTGCAAATAATCGATTATTGACATAAAATATACGTCTGTAAGTAAATAAAAAATTTATTTATAATTCTCAGATTAATCAGTGATCTCTCTCTTTTTTTTAATACACATATACACACACGCATATATTTTAACATACACGACGTAAACCGTATCACGCGCATGTTTTAATAGAGATATGCTTTCAAATTAGAGAAGAAAAGCGATGAAGCAAAAAAAAAAAATTAAAACTGGGACAGAACCATTGTCTCATAGTGACTTTTTAATTTTAATTAAACACGCTTTGTGACTAACATGAAATAGTATCATTTAAAAGCCATTGTCTTGTATATTTTGATAAAAACAAGATAAAACAAAAAATAAAGCAAGAGAAAAGTACGCACTTTGTATGCTTTTTTTACTCTTAAATGAAACAACATAAAATAATAATTCCAAATAAATAATTCCAAATAAATGATGGACACTGCGATTGATTGTTTAATACCCGGTAAAAAATTTCTCATACATAATTAGACAAAAATAGTACATATCTAATTATACAAAATTATATACCGAATTTGTCCATACATAAATAGATACACCTATATATAAATGAATATGAATATATATATTTATATATTATTATATAAAGGTGTGTATGAGTAAATATACATTTTCTTGTTTTATTTTGTTGTGTTTTTATTGCGCAAACATAAAGTACATAATCATACATACATCACATCATATATATATATATATATA